TAATACTTAATAACACACTCTTTAAACAAATATAAATTTCTTATTATTTACTAAGTTGCAATCAAAAATATAAACAATTCCACACTTACATTTCTCATTTTATTTAATACTACTCCAAAGTAACCTAATATCCACCCGAAAAACATAATATCGCAGCATATGTTCCCATCGAACATAATATTGCAGATCGTGAGTCAGACGTGTACAAATAAGCGATTCGCGGGGGTGGAACTGACATCATTGACATCAATCTGCGTTAGTTGCGGTGAACTCGTGCAAATTGAAACAAATCCCGCGTTTTTCGCTCGCCTTCGCATGCTGTGTGCAAAGTATTAGGACATTAGGTGATTATATTTCATGTTCGTAAATAATGCGGTTTGTGTACATGTTTACATATTAGTTAAGTACTGAGCAAACTGGAAAGACGCACATTTCTGTTCGTGCAAATATTTGCACACACTTCTGGATAGCAAGAGTTTGGGTTAAAGGAGGGATAAAATGGTTGATAAATCAAAAAGTAATTATGGTATCGTTATGATTTTTTGGATATGTATTAAGAATTAAATTTTACATTGAATTATGGAAAGATTTTATTGATATGAGTTTTTAAACAAAAGTTATAGAGCAATTTGTAAGAATAATAACATTTTTGCATTGTTAACTTAAATTGTTAATAACTATGTAGATATTTACATTATCAACAATATATTGACAAATTTAAATTAACAATTAAATTATCTATGTGTTTATGAAACAATTTTTAAAATAAGTTAATTTGTTTAAAAGTTATTCGTTATTTTCTAAAGACATAAAATCACGACTTTTACATGTGTTACAAAGTGTGTTTTGGTTTAGTAATTTGTCAATAACTTGAAAACCAATAAAGTTGCATCATTCATCTTTTTGTCATTTATTTATTATTAAATTATGTATCATTTGATATAAAAATATAAAGGATAGTATGTTTCTATCAATAGTTACGGCCTATTTTGTATCTGTTATAAAAAAATTTGAAAATTCAACTTTAATTGTTAATAACTATTGTTGTAATAATTTTATCAACAAAGTTCTGAAACTACTAGATGCACAATTTAAGATATTAATTAATTATGAAAGAATCATTATGGTAAATTAAATAGTTTCTAAGTTATAAACTAAAAACTAATTCAATTTTAATAAAAAATACGTTTAAAACAAAAACAACCAAAAATTGCTAAAAACCATGCAACAAAAATTATTTGAAAAATAAAATTATAATTTCTGCTGCCTATAACCTACAAAAAACATAATATTAAGGTCTAAAGATATTCCTCTCCTTGCACGCTTGTTAAAAACACATCAATTACCCCTGAAAATTGAGCAATTTCACTGAATCAGCATCGAATCGAAACGAATTGAGACGAATCGCAATTTACCTAACGATGCGAACATGTTATATTATATCATATTATATTATTATATTCATCTGACCGATATGTGTGCACATGTATATGCAATATGTGCAAACTCATTGCGTGATTGCTCAAACCCCCAAAATTTATGTATGCGTATGTGTGTGCTATTGTCACACGTTTTATTGTACGCTGCGGAATAATGCCGAATGCGAGTTATCAAATGCAATAACAAGTCAATAAGTCATCATAGATTTCATATTTCGATCGATTCAAACCTTTTCGCGACAGAATGCGATTGTGGAATTGTGGCTCAGCAGAAATTTGGGCTGAAAAGGGCGAAACAGTCGATTTGTCATCGGTGAAGATTGATATAATGACACAATCGATGACAGATTGCGTTAAATTAATATTAATCGTTTTGGTTTTTTTGATTTTGTTGAATGTGATTTTTTTAAAGAAAAAGGGAAAAATTATAATAGGTGTAGTTTAACGGTTGATAAGTCACTTTATATAAATGGTAGTAAAGTGGAATAAAGTGCCGTTTATAGAGAATTTATTTAAGTTTTAAAATATGTTAATTTATTGTGATTATATTAATTTGTTGATTTGTGATTAATGTTTTAGTAAAACATTACAAAAAAAGATATGGTTTTGTCATTATTTTATTGTTTTTAAGTTTTAATTAGGATGTAATTAATATTTTTTAATTGTTTTAATGCATTCTTATAGCCTAGTAAATATTTTATCAAATGGTTTTTAATACAACAAATTATCTCAATTGAATCTTAAGTTATTGTAAATTAAAGTTGAAACTTTAAAAAATTAGCTTATACTTTATATTCAAATTGAAAAACAAACTTTAAACAACAATAACTCATAGAATATTATTGATATTGCTATGAAATAAAAACAAATATATAAACAATTTATTTATAAATACAAATATCTATTTAATTTTTTGTTATCACTTTTTGTTTATTCATAATTCCCAAAAAAGTAAACCATTGCAAAAAAAGTACAAAAACGGATATATTTTATTTATTAACAAATAATGTTTATATTGTTTAAACATTTATTAATATGTTTATATTATTCGATAGATAATTAAATTACCTTTAATTTGTACTTTCAACCAACTTCCTAGCACAGCCCAATCAGACGTAATTCAAGATCAAAGTTACACTCCAAAACTAAAATCTTCACAGACTTCAAATAAATGAATCAATGCAAAGATAACCCGCTCATAAAGCAAAAGACAAAAGAAGATAATTAATTAATGATCAACCCTTATTTCAATTTCAACCCCTTTAATCTCTTTCACTTCCTTATTTCCTTACTTCCGCTTTCCTTACATCTCACATCAAATAAACCAAAATTAACATTCGCCGCTGTAGAAAACACAGTACTACTTGTACATTAAACTCACAGCAATATCATCGAGGTTATATTTCAATAGAGGTTATGTTTGTGTTTGTGTTTGTGAGTTGGTAGTTGGTAAATGTGAGATTCCTAGAAATAGGAATAGAGAATAGAGACGCCGGATTTTTATCCTTCTGCTGCTTCAGCGAGCGTACGAGTGAACGAGTGTAGCGCGTAGGCGTGATGCTCGCCGATAACTTTGATTGGTCCATTTCCCCACCACCACTAGTGCTACTGCCGCCGCCGGTGCCACCGCCAAGGCAAGCAAAGCAAGCATATGAAATAAGCGGCAGGATAAAGAACGCTGGATAACATCACATACGATTTTTAAAACACTAAAAAATATAAAATTGAAAGAAAAAAAGATTTAAGGGTTGATATTTTAAGGGATGATGATTATTTTTATCATAATAATATAATAATAATTTTATTATGTTGTTTAAATATATTTTTTGTTGTTTTAATACATTTTTCTGAGTGAATTTAATTAATTTTGTTTTTTTCTTTATTTTTCTCCCTAAAAACTCAACCACATGATTAAAAAAGCAGGGAACGCCTACAAAGGATTCTCATTCATTGTTGGTGAAGTAGACATGGATAAAAATGAATAAATAAACATTCATATCCATGAACAATGAGATTTATTCCAATAAAAAATGTAAAAAATGAATATAAAACGTTGAATTAATTTGCAGAGTTTTATTAAAATTGTAATAACTTTGTTTATAATAATAATATATTTATTATGTTTGATGTTTCTGATAGGTTATTAAATTCTCTATTTGATAGTATTTAATTGGTTTTTGTAGTATACATAGTTCTTTAGTTATTGTTAAACAAAATTACATCAATCAATATGTAAATTGATTTTGTTTTGTAATTTTAGGTTTGGTGATGTTTAAACTGTAATAACGTACAGGTATTAATTTATTTTTGATAATTGTTATATATGGAATTAAAGCTTATTTAATTGGCTTTCACATATAGAAGAAATAATGTAAATATCTTATCGGGTATAGAAATTATGTGAGTTTAAGGAAAAGAAATATTTTTTAAAAAGTTAAAATTTTTGTTAAACTTTAACAGTAAATATTTATACCTATATTTATTACTAACAAAAAGTGTTATATATCATTATAAAGACAATTTATTTTACTGAAAGATGGTTTTTAAACAAATAATTTAAAATTTAAACTTTAGGAGATATTAATAAAAAAGTAGCAAAAAACATGATTATCTAAATAAGAGATTTAACGTCAAAAAATAAAACAAAAGTTTAAAGTAAAATAAAGTAATGACAAACTATAATAAATACAAAATGTTATACGTCATTCAATAGGTAATTTAATTATGTTTCTTATAGTTTTTAAATAATTACTTTTAAGGCAAAAGTTTAAAAGTTATTAATAAAAATGTAACAAAAAACAAATTTATCCAAACAATAAAAAAAATATAGTTAAAAGTTTAAACTAAAATAAAACTATAATGCAATATTATAAACAAATAGTATTATACATCAAATTAAACCTCATTTAATTACCTATCACCTCCATTAAACATCCCCTAATTATCTCTACTACTTAAAAAGTTATTAAAGAAAATATACAAAAAAATCAAAAACACAAAAAAAAAAAGAAGAAACCTGTAAAATCATATTTTAGGTTAACTTTAGTACAAAATCTATCCGTTATTTACTACCCTCTTAACACCCATCAACCACCTCTGCTTCACATCCTTCCTTTTATCACACGCTTCGTCTCTCCATTAAATTTCAATTATTGCAAACATAAATTCAAAGGATAAACTCATCTCCCACCCCATCAACCCCTTCCAACCCCTTTCAACCCCTTCAACTCCCAAAACCAAACCGATATCCTTATCGTCCTCAATCGCGCCCTTATCGCCTGCAATTCTGCATTGGTATGTATGTCGCGGACGATTATTACCGCATTATTCGGATCAAGAGGTCGCCGAGCGAGATGCCGTCACACCTAACCTCCACGCGCAAGAGAAAGAAAAGACAACATTAAGGGTTGGTCTTATTCTTTGCGTGCGGCGTAGGAAGGGAGCGTCGGTTTTATACGTCGATGTCTACCCCCACCAGAATCCCACCCTCTGTCGGTAGGGGTTTGGCTCAGGGGGTAGTCCAAACCAAATCGCACCGAGTGCGCTCGCGGTCCGTGAGCTGCCAACACGTGCGTGTGAATATCATTCTCTGAAACAATAAAAAAAAACATAACCTCAAAGTTTTTAAACTCTCAGTGTGCGTGTGAATACTTATAAGATTAGTGTGTGAATATGTTTCAAGAAACAGCGCTGCGTCTGCTGCGTATAGAACGTGAACGCTGTGGTTATGCAACCAATCTTACACCGTTGAGCAGCGAGAAGATGTTGAAGAACTTTACGCAGCATAATAATAATAATAACTCGTCGGCGTTCTCGATGGAGAGTCTGTTGGCGTCGAGGGGAGTGCAGAAAAGTCCGCAACCAACATTACACCAATTGACACAACATAATAATACACAGGATGATTTGGATAAAATTGATGAGGATGGTAATGATGCACATGATGAGAGGGATGATTTAGTTGATGATCAACAGGATAGTAATTTGGCGAAGGATGAGGTGGTGTTGGCGCGGTTTGATGATTGTATTATGCGGTCGAGGATTTGTACGAATTGCGGGCGGTTGGATTGTGGGTCACTGCATTGCCGACTCAATAGACAGTTTCAGCACGGGTTGGGTTTGCAACCAGAGGATAGAGTGGGTAAGGATGGGGGGAGTCCTGGTGTGGGTGGTGGTGGTGGTGGTGGACTGAATTTGACGACGACGACGACGACCACGACGCCGGAGCGGACGAGTAAACCGCCCGTGTTGAAGTTCAGCGTGAATGCGATTCTGGCTGGGAATTGTAATCGGAGTTCGGGTGAGCAGGATGCGCATGCGCAGCAGAGGGCAGGTGGATTACATAATGGGAGTACTGGTGAGTAAAGTAGATTTTTTTTTGGGATTTGTGGTGTGTTTAAACTTTGATAACTTTTGTAATAATAAAGATAAGTGATTTGTTTTTTAAATAATTTGTGTAAAATTTATCTGGGTATAAGGTGTATAAATTTTTTTTGGATATTTTGGTTGGTTTGGTATTTATTTGAAGAAATATAAACAAAATACATTTTTGTTATTTTTTGTATTTTCTAAGTTTAAATGAATATTACTATTATTAATCAATTAGTTTTTTAACAGTTGTTGATATCAAATTATAGATAATTTAATTGGCTATTAAACGCTTGAAACAGAATTAAATTTTCTTTATTAGTTATTGAGTTATTTACAAAATAAACAAACTTTTCACATTGTACTAAAAACGCAGATAATTTGTGAGTCAATGTTTAAAGTTGTTTAAAACCAGGGGCGTAGCTACCGCCGTATTTGCCGTATCAATTATACGGGGCCCCCGGGCCACGGGGGCCCCCAAAGTGTGTAAGGAAAAACCTTTACCTCCATATAAGGGCCTCCAAAAAAAATTTTATACGGGGCCCCGACAAGGCACGCTACGCCGCTGTTTAAAACATATTAAAATACATAATAATATATTGTGTAACATATCACTAGAAAGACAATTTAATTTCCTATTTAACTCAACTAATAAATTATGGTTAATATTTGTTTATTATTAGTTTATTTACAAAAATATACAAAAAAACACAAAATTTCTATCTTTTTGTAAAATTTTTCATTCAGTTTCTGCTTTGTTTAACAGTATTAAATAACTAAATTATTATTATTTATAACCCTCGAGAGAAAGACAATTTTATTGGCTATCAAATACAGTTTATTTGGTTTAATTATCTTTAGCTGTTTAGGTTTTATTAAACAAAATATAACAAAAAGTATGAATAAATTTAAAACAAAAATAAGTAAAAAAAAGTTATTGTTGTTTTAAACCTAAATAAATGTTTATTATCAAATAATAACTTTAACATGTTATACATCAAATTAAAGCTTATTTAACTTGCTATAAAACAAACTTTGAATAAATTAATAATCTTTATTAGTTTAGGCATAATCTACTAAAAAGTAAATAAAATCATTTTTTATCATTCATTTTTAAACAACAACTTTAATCAACAATTAATTACATTAACACAAACATAAAAACAATATTTTATACATTAAACAAAAGATAATTTTAATATCTACCTAATACAATCAACAAAATTCAAAAATGTTAATAATTAACAAAGTTATAAACAAAAAACCAAAGAAAATTAAACTTCAACTGGTTTTTAATGTTTTTTAATTTTTATATGTTTATTTATACGAGTTTACTATACATATAGGTATACACTGTTGTTGTTGAGATGATGGCGGCTGTAGGAGGCAGCCGGGGGTGGCAGAAGCATCGGTCGATTCCGCGCGGTGGCGGCTGTGTTTTCGCCGCGATATTGTTATCGCCGCCTCGGATCCGACTTCTAACAGCCGCACACACACAAACGCGCTCTGTTTTTGGATTCGGGGGGCGGCAAGTGGCGGCAAGCGGCGGCGGTAACATCTGGCCGAGCACTTAACTCAATATACCAGCCATGACAGAGCTACAAACACGCAAAAAACGCAAAAATATTAAAATATCGCAATTTATTCTAAAAATATTCGAAAATCTTTGTTGAATTATTAATAATTATTATTTATTTGATTGATATTTGATTATTTGATTATTTGATAAGTTTGAGATTGAGTTTGAGGCAAGTTTGGTGGAAGTTTGCGGAAGGTGTCGACGTGTTGGAGCGTGCAACTTGCCGCCTCCCGTCGACACCTTCATCTTGTCATGTTTACGTTCCTTCGCTCGCGGGCAAGAGCCCGTTGTGTTGCCCGTGGCGACCGCCTCTCCGCCGCCCTCGCGGCAGCCCGCTCTTACCGCCTCTTGCCGCCTTCCGCGTCGTCGCTCATCGTATTAACTCCGCCGCCGCCTCTCGACGGTCTTCACGCGACGGGACGTCAACACCATGCTCGACGTGGATGTTCTCACGTTTTCTGCCGCCTCCGGCAGACTCAAAACAAGCTAGAAACTAATATTTTAGGAGAACTTTTATTTTGGGAAAAAAAATTTAAGTTTAACAATTAATTATTAATAGTAAATATTGATATAATTTATTGTTATATAAGTTGAATTATAGATCATTTTATTGGTTATACGTGATGGAGATTTTGTTTTTATATGTTTAGCAGTTTAGAGGTTATGGGCTATTTTATAATAAAAAGCATATTTTACAATTTTTTAAATTTTTTGTTTGTTGAAGTTTAAACAGCGATAAATAGCATTTATTATTAAAAATCTGCATTGTGTTTTATACCAAATAAAAGACAATTTAATTGTCTTTATAATACAAGTCATAAAATTTAATATTGTTAAATAATTCGTTGGTAATAACAATTTTAAGATCATAAAACAATAATAATATTATGATATAAAGATAATATGAAGTTTAAACATTGATAAAGTACTGAATTTATTATTGTTCATATATGTATTATACATCAAATTAAAGATAATTAAAATATCTATATAATACAGTCTGATTTATGTTTATAACAATAATCAAACTAAAATTATTGTAAAAATAATGCAAAAAATCAAACAGAAAATTTTATTGATTTTTTAAAATTAAATTTTATGTTTAAACTATTATAAAATGCATATAAACAAAGATAAATTAACGAAATTTAGTATAATATTAAAGACAATTTTACTGGCTTTACAACGATATACTTTTTATTAAATAATTATTAACGATATTGGAATTATTGTTAAAAATATAAACAAAAGTACTTTTTTCTAAATTTTAACTTTAAACGTAATTATTTACTATTCATAAACATTTCACACTATTAATTTATATATCATTGGAAAGACGATTTAATGCTCAATTAACAACATTCAAAATTTTCTTAATATCTTTATTAGTTTAGCCATAAATTAACTTTTTCCAAAACTTCTTCCAGACGCAGTCGTTCACGTATCGCCACCGAGTTTACTCAGCCTTGGCAGTTACCTGGGTGAGCACGTCGCCGGCGGCATCGCGAAGCCAGTGGCGAGCCGCCCGCCACACTTCAATCCACACCTGCTTCTGGCCCACTGCCGCCCCCAGCCCTACCTAACAGGTATCTATTGTAAATGATCTAATCATCCATCCAATCACACGATGAATTAACTTTTGTGGTGTGCGTTTTTTTGTTGTTTCCGATTAGTCTCGACGCCCGTTTCCGGCACGCAGTCGACGGTGTTTCCGCTGCCGGGGACGTTTCCGTGGGCGCACTCCGGGCGCGGCAAGCCACGCCGGGGGATGATGCGACGGGCGGTGTTCTCGGATCTGCAGCGCAAAGGCCTCGAGAGAAGGTTTCAGATACAGAAATATATCAGTAAACCAGACCGCAAGAAACTGGCGGAGAAGTTGGGGTTGAAGGATAGTCAAGTAAGTGTGTTATATATCAAATTATAGGGAATTTTATTGGCTTTAGAATGGTGAAAGAATTATTTAGATTGGTTTGGTAGTTTTTGAGTTACTAGTAAAAAAGTAACAAAAAGCATAAAAAGAGAGTTAAATTTTTAGTGCAAATGAAAGTGCAGATAAACAATAGTAATTATTAATCAATTTTATTAAATTATACATCAAATTAAAGATAATTTATCTAGCTTTGATACTCTTTAAAGAATTTTTAAATATTTTAATTTCTTTAAAAGTTATTAACAAAAAACTAAACAAAATCATAAAAAACTTTAAAATTTTAAAGAAAAACATTAATAACAACTTTAAACTTAAATATTTAGTACTAATAATTAAATATTCATATCATATTATACATCAAACTAAAGATAATTTAATTATCTACCAAACACCGTTTAAACAATATAAATATCTCAATTTGTTTATTCACAAATCACAAAAATACAACAAAAAGCATTTTTATGCTTTTTCATCTTTATTTGCTCATAATTCCTAAACCACTTACGATAACAAATTTATCTCTCCGTGGTGTGATAGACAATTAAATTATCTGCCCCCTAATGCCAGACACTAGCCACTCGCATACGAATTGCTAATGGAAAACGCTTTTCTAATCCATGCGAGGGCACCGTCCGCCCGAGAAACCGACGCGCGCCGAGGGGAAACATTATATTAAACGCGCGCGGGTGCACGTGCGAGGACGAGTGCGAGGGCGGCATACTCCCACCCCCTGCCCCCATCACCAACTGCGGCAACATATGTTTTTGATGGATCTCCTAACGAGGAGCCTCTTAATAATAGCGTATCGTTTTTGTGCACCGCACGCTCCGAATCTGACTCTCTGACTCTATTCCACCCCCGATTCGGATAAATTCTAGAGAAGGTTTACTGGAGGCGGCTGCAGTCGACACTCCAATCGACTGGCAAACAAATCGGCATGCGAATCGCGCTGGAAAGTCGAGAAAATGTGAAAAGTCGATACGGATGAAAAATGTGTTATTAATTGCGGATTAAGTGAAGTTTCGCCGCCCCCACTGGGTTGTGATGGTTGGGAAATATAAGGGTATAATTTAAAGTTTATTTTTTTGGAGTTTTTAATGGTTTCTTTGTTGTTTTTGTGAGTAATTGATTTTTTATGCGTTTTTTGCGTGGATTGGGAATTGTGGGGGTGGTGGATGCGGAGGCGGGTCGTAAGACGGCGGTGGAAGAGCCCGCCTAGCGCCTGCGCGCAGTGCAACAATCAGGAGGTTTTTATTTCTATGGATTTTTTATGTTTTTGTTTGATGGTTATATCGCGGTCGTAAATTGCAGAGATGCTTTTAGGCGCGCTACTTTAACGTCATGAAACATTGATTTTGGATTATATTTATACATTGAGTTATACATCAAATTAAAGGTAATTTAATTGTTTATTTATATGTGGAAGAAAAATTGAAAAATATTGTGTAGTTTAGGAATTATTTGCAATTAAGTAAAAAAATCCATTTTAGGGTTAAAAAATTAACAAAAAAGTTTAACAACAAATAACGTTGATTTGGCATTATAGTGTGTTATTGAGTTTTATATCAAATTAAAGGTAATTTAACTGGTTATAAACGAATGAAAGAATTAAAGCGATATAATTGTTAATATAAAAGTTACAAGCATTTATAATAAACATTACAACTTTAGTCAAATATAAATTACTAGATTTTCAAATAATTTGGAAATATCTTACACTTTTTATTGTAACTTTTGAATTAATAAAGAAAAATTAATTTTCTTTTCAGTCCTGAATAGACAGTTAAATTATCTTTAATTTGATGTATAACATGAATATATTAAGTAATTAGAAATATGCTTAATTGATATTTGAATTATAACAAAATTTTATTTTTTTAATTTTGATTTTGTTTAGTTTTGTGTTTATAACTTTTTATCCAGAAGTGATAATTTATTTAAAATAATATAATATAATAGCCAATTAAATTATCTTTCAAATGATATATAGCAATAATACATTTTCATATTGCAAATACTAATAATTTAAGTTTAAAGTTGAACAAATTATTTTAGGTTAATTTATCCGCTCCATTTACTCGTTTACACCCAAAACAATCACTTTATAAGTTATGTAACTAACTATATACTCATCCAAGCATACAAGTACTCTCAAAACAATATTCCACACTTAAAAATTATACATTTTTACAGCCCTAGAACTGTAAAACTCAATTTTTCTGTCCAAAAACTTACTAACCATTTCTAAGTTTAAGTTTTTCTCATAAAACTTTGCATCCCCGAGAACAAAAAAGAACCCGTAGGATAATCGCTCTCGGGCAGTAAATAAATGAATGAAACATGTTCGTGACGGTTTAATAGTCGCGCCAGACATCGGCGCGCACGTGCCGACACGAAAAACGCGCGCGCCAAGGACAAACAGCGTAATCTGCGATTCACGATTCACTTTGTGCTCTGCGTCCTTATCGCTGATAAATTAAACATACTCAAGCTCCGTGTGCGTCTGAGAGAGGGTGCGGTGCAGGAGAATTAGGGAGTTTTTGGCGCGTCAAGCGCAAACATCGCGGCTGTCGATGGCAGAAGCACCCAGGAAACCGCAGGCCGAGCGGGCCCACGTGTCCTCCGCCCCTTGCGCGCGTCCTGCGACGAATGTTCGTGTCGTTCCAGAGGCGCTTTTTATGGGGGTGGGCGCACTGCGCAAATAAATTAGTGCGATTAGCATAAACGCTAAACACAGATAAAATCATCTACTAGGACTTATGGGGAGATTATGTGTGTTTTGTTTACATTTTTGCTTGTAGGGGATGAATGTGATATGATAGGAAGATGGGGATGGTGGATTTAGGTAGATAATTAAATTGTCTTTAATTTAATGTATAATATGTTAGCATTATTTGTTTATAAAGTATGTTTATTTAGAGATAAAGTTAAAAGTTTGAATTTTAGTATATTTTTTACTTTTTTATTAATAACTTTTTAATAAAATATGATAAACATATTATAAAAACGTTATTTTATAGACAATTAAATTATCTTTAATTTGATACTAAACTTGATAAGTTTTCGACTTTCTATATTAAATATTTTTAAGGTTAAAGTTTGCATCACAAATCAAAATATGTGTTACATTAAACATATTGATTTTGTTTACATTTTTGCTTGTAGGGATTGAATCAGATACGGTAGGAAGATTGGGATTGCTGATTTAGATAGATATTTAAATTGTCTTTAATTTCATATATAATATATTAGTATTATTTGTTTATAATACGGCGCAAGGGCCGTGAGTGCCAACTGCCAACCTCCCCTTCACGTGGTGCGCCCTGATTTCGACAAACGAGGCTCTGGCGACCGAATATGAGGCGGTATAACCTCACTTTCACCACGTCAAGTGCGGGACATCAACAACATCGTCAAACATCCAGGTACACTGAGGCGGGTTTGGACGCTCCAGCTGGCAGCCCCAGCACCAAACTCGGGTGCAGAAGGCTAATAACCTACTCACCCTAAATCAAACCTATTACTGAAACTTCAACTAAGCAAACCCGGACGGATAATACGAGGACGACCCTGGCTAATACTAAACACAAGATACGTTTCGGCTGCTGGAACGTGCAAACGTTATACGAGAGCTCCAAATTGCAGCAGGTAACTAAGGAATTTCTCAAATATAATCTACATATTTTAGGTATATCAGAAGTACGTTGGTTGGGGAAAGGAGAACATCCCACACAAGGTGGAGAACGACTACTTTTAGTGGTAATGAATCTGGAAAACACGAAAGCGGTGTAGGATTTCTACTCAGTAAACATGCTAAAAGAGTCTAATCTCATGGACACCAATAAACGAAAGAGTAATAACAGCAAGATTCTACACCAGGTTCAGAAAAGTAACTTTTATCCAATGTTACGCCCCAACCAATAACGCTTCTAAAGAGGATAAAGATGAATTCTATGACATCCTCGAGAAAACTATAAAAGACGTAAACAGCGGTGACATAAAAATTCTCATGGGCGACCTTAATGCGAAAGTAGGCGCTCAAAACGAGAATTTGGAAGAAATTATGGGAAAAAACGGCGTTGGGCAGATTAACGAAAACGGCACATACTTCACACAGTTCTGCTCCAACGCGAACCTGGTAATAGGGGGTACGCTGTTCCCCCACAAACAGATTCACAAGACAACGTGGGTCTCGCCAGACAAAAACCCACAACCAAATCGATCATATCACAATCTCTAGGAAATGGAGATCGTCATTACTCGATGTGAGGAACAAGAGAGGTGCTGATGTAGCCAGTGACCACCACCTAATAGTTGGCACATTGAGAATAAAACTAGCAGTACCCAAGCAACCAGCCGATATGAAACGAATAAAACTAAATATAGAGAAGCTACGCATTCCACAAATAGCAAAATCCTTCAAGGAAAAAATGCAAGAGACAATAAACCAAAAATCAGCACAAAATGGGAAAATATGGCCGACAACATCATTGAAGTCGCCAAAACAACAATTGGAGTGAAAAGCAGGCAAAGGAAAGAATGGATCAGCGAAAACACGTGGTTGCTGATAGAAGACCGAAAGAGGAAAAAACACCTGCTACTCCAAAATCTTTCGCAAGAATATAGGGCAGCGGCACAGGTAGAGTACACAGGCCTTTGCCAAAAGGTCAAAAGGGAAGCCAGAAGAGACAAACGCAGGTGGATAGATGATATTTGCAGACAAGCAGAAGAAGCAATGCTCAACAACAACTCGAGAGAACTTTACAACCTCACAAAGAAACTGGCCAATAAGTACTCTACACGCACACACTTCATTAAGTCAAAAAACGGCCGCCTGTTAGTTGAGTCAGACAAGCAGCTCGAAAGATGGAGGGAACATTTCTCCGACATGCTCAGCGCAAACGAAACAATTAACTGGGAGCCAGAGAATAACCCAGGTAGACAACTGAACATTGACTCGAACCCGCCTTCAGTCGCGGAGATAACTGCAGCTATAAAGACGCTTAAGAACAACAAAGCAGCAGGAGCTGATAACGTTCCAGCGGAACTACTAAAAGTAAACGCCACATGGATGGCAAATGAACTATACCACTGTATTAAGGAAGCATGGAACAACAACAAGATTCCGACCAAGTGGAAAGAAGGGCTAATCATCAAGCTTCCCAAAAAAGGTAACTTGACCGAGTGTAACAACTGGCGTGGCATAACGCTATTAAACACAATTAATAAGATTATCGCGAAAATCGTCCAAACAAGATTAGCGGAAACTATAGAAAACACCCTGCGCCCGAACCAAGCAGGTTTTCGGCCGAATCGCTCATGCATCGATCATATCAATACCCTTCGTATAATTATCGAGCAATCAGTAGAATGGCGATCACCACTATTCATCGCCTTCATCGACTTTGAGAAAGCATTCGACAGCCTGAACCACGACGCTTTATGGAGGATCCTTAAGTCGCGAGGTGTACCAACAAAGATAATAAGCATCCTGCAAGAACTCTACACTGATGCAAACTGCAGTGTGTTACACAACGGTGAAAAAAGCGAAAGTTTTACGATACACAGAGGAGTAAAACAAGGATGTGTCATATCCCCATTACTATTTAACATCGCCTTAGACTACATACTAGCAAAGGTAGACCAGAACAGGGATGGGTTGCGCTGGACACTAACCTCGCACCTCAGCGACCTGGATTACGCCGACGACATCTGCCTGATGTCACATACGTTCGAAGGCGTGAGCCGACAGCTAACAACATTAGCAAGGGAGGCAAGTAAAATTGGCCTAAGAATAAATATTGCCAAAACAAAAGAAATGCGTATAAATACAAACAACACCTTAAAACTCCAAATAGATAATACGGAAATAGAAGAGGTCAAGGAATTCCTATATCTAGGAAGTATAATTGACATAAAAGGGGGGACCGACGCAGATATAAACAACAGAATAAAGAAAGCCCAGCAATCCTTCAGAATGCTGAGCACAGTATGGAAGTCAAGCGTCTATACACTAAGAACAAAACTGCGCATATTCCGCACAAATGTAAAATCCACCCTTTTATATGGATGCGAAACATGGAGGTCAACGAGCTCAAGCACACACAAACTCCAAACCTTCATAAACAAGTGCTTGAGAATGATCTTGCGCATATTCTGGCCAATGACAATCTCCAACGATGAGTTGCACCGTCGATGTGATGAAACTCCCATTATAAATCAAATACGCAAGAGAAAATGGGGGTGGATTGGGCACATCTTGAGAAGAGACGCCGGAGATATCGCCAGAAATGCGCTAGAATGGAACCCACAGGGGAAGAGAAGGGTTGGTAGACCGGCCAATACCTGGCGAAGATCCACAATAGAGGAGCTCCGAAACCAAAATATGGGCTGGAACGAAGCAAAGGCGGTTGCCCGAAACAGAGTCCGTTGGAGGGCGCTTAGTGAGGCTCTATGCTCCACATAGGAGCCAAGAACATTATATATATTTGTTTATAAAGTTTGTTTATTTAGAGAGAAAGTTAAAAGTTTAAATTTTGGATATTTTTTACTTTTTTAATAATAACAATTGAACAGAATATGATAAAGAAATTTAAAAAAAAGTAGTTTATAGATAATTAAATTATCTTTAATTTGATACTAAATTTGATAGGTTTCCGATTTTCTACATCAAAGATTTTTCAGGTTAAAGTTTGTATTATAAATCAAAATATGTGTTGCTTTAAACATATTGATTATGTTTACATGTTTGCTTGTAGTGATTGAATATGATATGGTAGGAAGGTCGGGATTATTGATTTAGATAGATAATTAAATTGTCTTTAATTTCATATATAATATATTAGTATTATTTGTTTATAAAGTTTGTTTATTTAAAGATAAAGTTAAAAGTTTAAATTTTACATAATTTTCACAATTTTATTAATAACTTTTGAATGTCATATGATAAACAAATTCTGAAAAAGCACTTTTATAGACAATTAAATTATCTTTAATTTGATGTAAAATTTGATAGGTTTACAATTTATTACATTAAAGATTTTTAAGGTTAAAGTTTGTATTGCGAATCAAAAGATATTTTGCTTTACACATATTGATTTTGTTTACATTTTCACTGATAACTCAAGAATCTGATAAGATAAATCAACTATTTTTACAGATTCTGATAAACAATTAAAATATCAATAAAATCATATTAATTTATTAACTGTAACTCATTCCAATCAATAGTTATTAACAAAAAACTAAACAAAAACACTTTTTTACCATCATAATGTTTATCATCAAATAAAACAATTAAAAATACAATTAACACTATCATGTTATACATCAAATGAAAGATAATTTAATTATCTACACTCCACAATAAACAAAAATGCTTTATCTTTTTTCATTATCAAGTTATTTAATAAAACATAACCAAAAACATTTTTTCTTGTTTTAGGTTAAAATCTGGTTCCAAAACCGCCGTATGAAATGGCGCAACTCCAAAGAACGCGAGCTCCTCGCCGCCGGCGGCTCCCGAGAACAAACCCTCCCAAACAAAAACAACCCCCATCCGGACCTGAGCGACGCCGACGGCGACAAATCCAAGCTGGATCTCACCGACGTCAACGACATTTCCCCGCTGGTTCACCCAACTCCGTAGGTGGCGCACCTCGCCTCCCAAACGACACCAACCCCACAACCGGAAACGGCGGTGATCGTGGAGGCGGTATACCATCATATCCCGGTGATTACCCGCCCGGCATCAACAATTATCACATGTATGAAGCAATGGACTACGAGAGCTCCAATGACAGCGAGGAGGAGATCAACGTCACGTGATCATAAAGCACTGATGATAATTTCATTTAAATGCAATCATCTTTGATAAAATATTGGATTTATTTTGAATTGTATTGAAAATAAGGCTCAGGATGTGAATGACGTTGGGTTTTGTTGCTTTTGAGCCGATTGTACATAATATTGATGATAGCGGATGATTGTGGATGAATTGTGGATGGTATATTGCGATTTGGTTAAGAGGGTTCATGTGTAATGTAAAGTAACTCGACTTATTATATAACAAGAGAGGATTTGATGCTAAAATGAAGTTTTATTTATTCCAAATAATAATCCTGGTGTTTTTAGTTTTTTTGAGATTGGGGTTTAGAAAAACTTGAATATCTTTTAAACTATTCATTGGATTTTAATTATTTTTTTGGGTAATTGTAGTTGAAGAAAGTGGCTTTCATTTTGTTTTTGTTGTAGGGTTGTAGCTTTATTGCAAATATGTTTAAATTGTTGTTAAAGGTTGATGATCTTTGAGACAAGATGAAAAACTGCTTTAGAAAACTTTGAATAACTCCATTGGATTTTAATGATTTTTAAGTTTTAAAATCTTAATCAATAGTTTAAAAGTTGCTTTATAATTTGTAGTGAGTTTTAATGTGCAAAATTATCTTGAAATGCTTTAAAAATGTTTTTAAAAACATTGATTTTTCAACTTTTTTAAAACGTCAAAAAGTTGTTTTAGAAAACATTGAATTACTCAATGATATTTTAGTTATTTAAAGGCAGCATCATCTTAATTAATAGTTTAAAAGATGCTTTATAAGTTGTGATAAGTTTCAACATTCAAAATTAACTAGAAATACCTTAAAAATGCTTTTAAAAACATTGATTTTTCATCGTTTCTAAAATGTCAAAAACTTGTTTTAGAAAACATTGAATTACTCAATAAGTTTTTAGTTATTTTAAAGTAAAATCATGTTATTTAATAGTTAAAAAGATGCTTTATAAGTTGTGATAAGTTTCAACATTCAAAATTAACTATAAATACCTTAAAAATGCTTTTAAAAACATTGATTTTTCATCGTTTCTAAAATGTCAAAAACTTGTTTTAGAAAACATTGAATTACTCAGTTAGATTTTAGTTATTTTGAAGTGAAATCATCTTAATTATTAGTTTACAAGGTGCTTTATAAGTTGAGATTAGTTTAAACGATCTAAATGAACTAGAAATACTCTAAAAATGCTTTTAAAAACATTGATTTTTTAACGTTTCTAAAATGTCAAAAACTTGTTTTAGAAAACATTGAATTACTCAGTAAAATTTTAGTTATAGTTAAGTAGAATCATCTTAATTAATAGTTTAAAAGGTGCTTTATAAGTTGTGATAAGTTTCAACATTCAAAATTAACTAGAAATACTTTAAAAATGCTTTTAAAAACATTGATTTTTCAAGCTTTTCATTAAATAAATGTCATTTTAATACACGTGCTGCCGTCTATCGTCGAAGTATAGCACTAACCACAAAACATTTATTTTTAACTTTTTATCAATAAAATCCAACAAAAACAAATACAAAATCAATCAAAATAAACATTTAAACTAATAATAAAGCTATTAACAATGTTTTTAAATCATTTACAAGTATTTATCACCAAATAATCAGTTGATTTCTAGGTCAATGACACTTTGACAACTCAACAATATTTCAACAACTTTAAAACAATCCACATCAACAAAATGCCACCGCGATTATCACACATAAAACCTAAAACAAAGTAAGTACGCAAAAAGATTAAATATTTACATATCCACACCAAAACCTCCTCAAAACATTACAGTTTATTAAGTCTGTTGACGTTGCAATCATTTGTTTACGACCGTTACACTTTTCACGCTCCAAAATCACTTCAACAATAATTTACAGTTACACTCTGATTCATTCATTCAATTCAACACGTCTAAGAATAAAACCTAGACCTTGATCGTGAATCGTGATCTTCGCCGTCATTCGCCATTTCTTAGCGTATTTTTAACTTGTTTCAACTCTGAAAGCAAACAGCGATAACCTGACGATAACAAAAGCGCAACGCAATACACCCACGCATATCCACTGGTGTTGTACGTTTGGTACTTTGGTGAATTATTGATTTTTGTGCAACATATACCCAACGCTTTCTGCTTCCAACTTGTTGCTGATGAGCGCAGCGTTGGCGAGCAACAGTTCGCCGGGCGAATTCACGCAAACTGGGCACATTTGTCATTCGGATTGCTCGGAATACTCGGAATATTCGGATAACGAGCCGACTAGTGCGTTAATTAGGTAAATAATATAATATTATACAAGTGAATCTTGTCTGGGGTGGTTTAGGAGCTTTGTTAAGGTGTAGGTTGTGAAATTTGCACAGTCATCGCAACACAAACAGCTGTTTAGCACAAAACTCACAAAAAGGTAACAAATGTTTATTTATAATGAATTCTAACATGTTTAGAGTGTTTAAATGATTGGGTTTTGTTATATTTAGATGTTTTTTGTTTAGAAAGAAGATTTTCAAAGGAAATATGGAAGCGAGAAGTGATCATCAACTGTATCGACAGTTTAATACACTCAGTCGATTCAATACATTCATTGGTGTGATGTTAACTACAATGGTGCTGATTTGGTGCACACATTACAGGCTGGGTTTTGCCTGGCATAGTGATTATTCACTGCAGTTCAATTGGCATCCATTTTTGATGACTTTCGGGATGATTTACATGTTTTCACAGAGTAAGTATAAATAAAACTTGTTATTTAATAAACAAAATACATAATGTTTACTAAAATCTACTGAATGTATGTTATTTTGGTGTTTATGTAAGTATTTATTGATATTATCGAAAATATGTTGTAAAATTTATGTTTTTTAGATTATTTTATGAATTTATTTTAATTGTTTGATGTTTTTTAGCTATGTTGGTGTACAGATCGAAACGCAACTGGAGTAAACGCACACTGAAGCTTACACATGCAGGATGTCACTTTTTTGTTTTGATCTGTGCGATTATTGGACTGAAAGCGGTGTTTGACTTTCATAATTATACTTCTACACCGATTCCGAATTTGTATTCTATGCATTCGTGGATTGGGTTGACTGCTGTTATCATATTTGCATTTCAAGTACGTTAAATATTCGTAATTTATTTGGTTTTAATGTGTAAATGTTTGTGAAGGTTGACAAATTGCAAGAATTTGAGTTATTACTTCATTTTTTACATAAAAATGTAATAACTTTTAAAATACTTATGAAAAACAGGAAATTGTTTTGGTGGTATGTAAATTTTACCTAGATTTATGATTTTGATCAAGTTTTTAATGAAATTTTTATTAGTTTTTGTGTTTAAACATGAAAAATTGAGTAATTTATTGAAAAAATGTTGTTTTGAGGTTAAAATCACTAAAAACTTTCAAAATAAGGTAAATTTCAATAAAACTTACTTTTACTTGTAATTCTAAGTAATTTTGATAATATTTGAGTTATTCTACAATATTAGCAAGTTATTTTAATTATTATAAACAAATATGAAGCAAATTCTTGAAATTTAGAGGTTAATTTACACAAAAGTTAAATTACACGTAGAATTTTGGTATATAATGAATATAAAACGTGTTAAAAGACATAAAAAAGCAAAAAACCAAATTTATATGCATTGAAATATTAAAATAATACATTTTCTGTTTAATTTCAGTATCTTTTGGGTTTCGTAACGTTCCTATACCCTGGTTTGGCTCAAGAAATCCGCAAATTCTCAATGCCCATCCACGTGGCGACTGGAACAACATGTTTTCTCTTCTGTGTCATCGCAGCATTCACCGGACTGACTGAAAAAGCTCTCTTTTCATTGTAAGTCCCTAACATAACCTTATTAACCTATAAACTTATATTAAAATCTTTATTTTTGTTTATTTAGAGGTGATAACTATAAAAAACTAGAAGGTGAAGCCATCCTAATCAACTTCATTGGTTTATTGCTTGCAATTTTCGCTGCTTTAACCTTATATCTTGTAAATCACCCGGATTACAAGCGTGTGGCTGAAGGAGAGGAACAAATTGCTATCACTGAGCACACTGAGTAAGATCTGCATATTATAAGAGAAATAAGAGTGAAAAGGGAGAAGAGTGAGAGAAAGGTGCTAAATGTGCTTAAAAGAATCCTGTATAACCATTAGGCTAAACTAGGTTATGTAAGGTAATTATCCTATTATAAAGTATATTTTGTGTTAGCCGATAAGAATCTATGCCAAATTGCCAAGCAAGTACGTAATACCGTGCATATCATTGGTGCTTCTCTGTGTTTTATGTGATTATAACGAATATATTTATCTAATGTATCAATAACAAAAAAGTGTATTTGAAACACTCGGTTTAGTTTAATTATGTCAATATGTTTGCGGTGCTGTTCAAGTGATGGCGGTAGTGATGTGCTAATATACCATGCGATTAGTTTTGCATTTTATAAATATTTTGAAGATTAAAAGAGGCTTAGTAAGTTTTTTTGTTACTAGTTATGCGGAATATTAAAAATTAATGAATTATCAGTTGATATTTTATTTGAATTAGTGAATTAAACAAGATTTTACGTTAAATTTGTTAATTAAATTTTCATCATACACGATGTATGTCATAAATAGTTCAGATTTTCACTGCCAGGCGTCGCTAGCATTGCTCAATTATACCATGTGCTTAAAGTTAAACATAAATTAGTTTTTCATACTTTTAACAAAAACTTTTGAAGTTTTTCATAATTTTCAATCATTATATAACCAAACATTAAATTTATAACAAAAACCGCTTCATAAATAACAAAAATAACAATTTTTAAACTTAATAAAACAGCTAGACATAATGTATATAAACTACAGTTAATAATTCACACGAAAGATGGCGCTAGTGAAGTCAAATTAGTTCCTAATATTGCCACTAGAAACAATCAAGCGCTGCACTCAGCCGTCCGGCAGTGTTCTTGAAGAGTGCCCACGGAAATCTCATTTATTCATCTCGCGAGTCAACTGTGCGTCTAAAATCGCGACCAGAAACACATCTCACCAACGATCGAGTGAGTCATAATCATAACCAACAAAATGCAAATCTCCGAGTTGGTGCGCGAGTGAGTGTGGCTTGTGCGTGTGCTGCAATCCGCCCGCGTTTCGCGTCCCACAATCCAAACGGATATCCAACCACCACCGAACGCCTGAATATAACCGGTGAGTAGTCTTAGTCTTCATTTGTTTCATCTCTCTATGTGTCTACTTGTCAATGTAATGTGTATTCTCCACATTCTCCACCCTCGGTGTTTCCGTCATATTCAGTCTCTAATCAAAGAAATCACAGCCGTGTGATGCGGATGCGCGCAGGATGTCAAAACAACTATAAATAGTCTCGCAGCCGCCACCAACGCAAACACAATATTTATTAATGCACGCATTTTTCATGTATTGTGCAATAAGAATAGAATTTTACGTTTTTTAGGTCACATTTTTGGTTTGTGGTTTATTTTTGTATGTGTGATGCTTTAATTGGGTTTTATGGGCGGTTTTATTCCAATCGGGGTTTTAATTATCATCTGTATAACATTCTGTGAGGATGTAATCGCGAATTTCGTGGGAAAACGCGGTGGATTTCCAGGCGTTTGCATTGAAACGGTGTGTGAAAATGTTGTACTAGTTTTTTTCTGTATTGCTGAGATCATATTCATAAAATGAGTATGAGTTGTGTGATATGAGTGAGTCATTCATTTAAGTTTTAAGTTTATGCGTTTTTTCATTCTTCGGTTGGTTTACATGTCGTGAACATCTCACAGTGAGATTATTCGGTGTTCAAGGGGATTACAGGTGCAGTAAATGGTATTCGTGTTATGTTTTGTTTTGTTTAGTTCGTTGTGTGTGGTCGTAAGGTGTGCGAAATGTGAGATATGATTGGAAACATTGATTTGTGTTTATAAGTGTTAAGTGAGGTAATTGTGGGTTATTGATATTTATGCAGTATACAGTATACTGTGGGTTTGTGTTGAAATTAGTCATTAGTCAGGTAGATAGGTGAATTATTTTATGTGTTTATTTTATTTACTAGATATAAATACTAAATACTAGGTGTTAGTGGGTTGAATTATTTATTTTTTGAGTGTTTGAGTGATTAGTTTAGTTTTTTATTGATAAAAATGATGAATATTAGTCATATTTGTGATTAAATTGATGATAATTTTAATTCCAGTTGTGATAGGTTAGTAATTCTTTGAGATTGTTGTAAATGTTGTCGTGTTTTATCTAATTATGAGTTTTTGTGATTGTTGGTACATTCTCTTTGGTAAAATTTATAAATTAGCTATTTTTAGTGATAAAATTCGTTATAACTTTTAAAGAAACTGAGGTGGATGAATAATTCTTTCTTCTACTTGTAGTTCTCTTCATATTCTTCCTATTTAGTACATTTTTTAATTATAACTTTGTTAGTTAAGTATTTATTGAGGTAAATGTAAAATATTTCAATTTTTGAGGTTAAAATAGGTTATAACTTTTAAACAAAAATAAATAGACCAATAATTCTTTCTGCTATGTGTAGATCAGTTATTATTTTGTATAATAGCAACTTCTTATAATTGTGTAGGTGTTAATTTGGTTTTTATTGCGATAAAATACGTAAATAATGTCATTTTGAGGTTAAATTTGGTTATAATTTTAAAATCGCGAGAAATAATTGATTGATTCTTTCTTTTTACTATATTTGTATTCATTTTCTATCAACATACTAATTTTTTAAGTCTTGTTTCATATTAATTTAATTTTTATTGAGGAAAATAGCAAAAAAATTCAAATTTTTTGGTTAAAATTGCTTTTAACTTTGCAAGTGCTTCAAATTAAACTTACATTAAACAAATGTATTTTTGCACATAGATAATACCTGTTACTATATGATCCCAAATTTACACAATGTTATCACACCATTCGTTAAGTTTTTATTGACAAAAAGTGGGGAAATATATAAAGTTCTGATGTTAAAATGAGTCAAAACATTTAAACAAAAGATAATAAACGAATAATGCATTCTTTTGTTTATAGGACTTTTCTTATTTTATTAAAAGTTATGTTTTTTATCGCGAAAAGACGCCAAAATATTGTATTTTAGTGGTTAAAATTGATTATAACTTAATAACAGCGTCTGATAAACGAATAAATCTTTATTCTACTTGTAGGTTACTTCTAATTTTATCAAATATCAAATTTTCACACTTATCTAATCATTAATTCAATTTTTATGGCGACAAAACAAAAAAAATTACATTAGTAAGACTAAAATGTTTATAACTTTAGAAACACATGAGATAAACAAGTTATTCTTATTTTTGCTTGTAGAAATTTCAAACGGAATATTTTCACAATTTCATTTCTGTCCGTTATGTTTTTATTGAGGAAAGCGCAAAATATAACCGTTTTTGGGATTTAAAACGAGTAATAACATTAGAATTACACGCTATGAACAAAGTATTTTCTTTTAAACTTACAGTTCTTGTTTTTATTTACTAAGTTTTAAAATTTCACATTAAAATAGTTATTAATACATTTTTTATTGTGAAAAACACAGAAAAATATAATATTTGAGGGTAAAATTGCCTGTAAAATTTAAACAACTTGTTACAAACAAATAATCCTTCATTTTATTTAAATATTGTCTCTAGATTTACCAAGTATCCAATTTTCTGATTACAATAGTTGTTAGTAAAGTTTTTATGATGAAAAAACGCTGAAATATTCTTTTTGAGGTTAAAATTGCCCATAAAATTATATCTATTTGTTAATAACATTCTTATGGTCATAGATCTATTTTTGATTTACTAAGTACCATATTTTCACATTAAAATAATTGTTAGTTAAGTTTTTACTGTGAAAAAACGCAGAAAATATATTTTTTGGGGTTAAGATTTAAAACAACTGGTTAAAAATAAATAATTCTTCCTTATACTTGAAAATCTTATTTTAATTTACAAAATATCAAATTTTCATATTAATAGGGTCCTTAGTTAAGTTTTTATTTCAAAAAAATGAACATCGAAACAATTTTTTTCTTCTTTTATTTTCCTCCAACAAAAAATCCTGTTAAACCCATTTGAACTCAATTTATAAGGTGAATAATCCATATCATAATATCTTTAACCCATTGTAATTCCAATTGTATTCTCATTCATTCATAGACTGATACGATAGATCATTTTCAATTAGTTGAGTTAACCGCTGAATAAGTTGTCTCAGTGCTTACACACCGCGACAACACCACTTGACTATAATTCCCATTGTTGTAGATGTGGAGTATGCGCTCGGGCCGCGATAACAAATTGATGATCTGATGCATTGAGCCCGCCACACGTCGCTCGAAGAAGATCGAATGAAAATGCAGCAGCCGCATCAGCAGCACGACGACCGGAAGAAGTTCTACTGTCGCGAGTGGGCCTTCCAGAAGCTGCTGCACTGCCTGGATCAACGTCCCGTGTCAAAGACATGTGGGGCATTATTATTAGGTAAGAAATATTAAATTAAAAATTGATCAAAATTGATTTTTTATATTTTTTAGTGTTTTTTTTTTCAATTTTTGAGGAAAATATTTTAATTTTTTTTATAAAACGTTTCCTATGTTCTTCTCAATACTTCTGAGAATATCTACACAAAATTTCATGATGATCCATTGAGTAGTTTTGATGTTAAAGTGTAACAAACATACAAATTTCACAAAATTCCACATTTTTCCCACAAAAACATCAAATTTCCTAAGAACCATTAAAAACATCAATTATATTTTAGGTGGGCCTGGTTGTGGTAAAACCACATTCTGCTCGGAGCTATGCTGGCCCTCCCAGGGTCCTTCAGGACGCCAACAACGCGCATTAAACCGAAGACTACTCGCACATCACTTCCTCCAGGGCCACAACGAGAAATCCCTCTCTCTGAGCGAATTCGTCCGCTCTCTAGTAACACAAATCCTCAACCACTCAACAGAGAGTCACAAAGAGCGCTCCATACGACGCAAACTACAAAGCGGCATCACCTCCGAATCAGAACCAACAACAACAAACACATACGATTCCTGCGATGAAAATGGCAGTTTACAACGCAAAACACCTTCTACATCTGCATCTGCAACAGTTGACACACCACCAATACCCAATCTACCTGTAAATCCACGCACACTCATCGCCGACGCATATTTAGAGAAGTTAAAGTCAGATACAGAGATACAAATCGCTCTGCGTGCGAAAAACATTGAAAGCAACCCGGACGACTGCCTCAAACGAGCACTACTCTTCCCTCTGCTTGAAATCGACCCGCCAAAGACAAGTTTATTCATTTTAATCGATTCCATCGATGAACATTCATTCATTTATTTAAATTCAACACTTACAAGGTCAAAACCACGCGATAGATCATCACAAAGCAAAACAATTGCTGAATTATTAGCGAATCATCATCACTTATTCCCCCAGTGGTTGTTATTGGTATGCACAGCAAGGAAACAATCGAAAAGCATCGCGAAAATGTTCACAGGATTCAGAAAACTATCATTAGACGACCTGAGAAAATCACAAGTCGTCAGAGATGTCCAACAGTATATCCTAGCTAGGTTAGATCAGGAAAACAGTCTGCGACAACACATAAGTAGAGATACAGCTGAAATGCTGAATCAACTACATATTAAATCGAATGGATGTTTTTTGTATCTAGAAAAAGTCTTAGATGGTGTCTCGGATAATTTTATTGTCCTCAGAGAAGTCCGGGAGATACCAGGAACACTGAATGGTTTATATCTTTGGTTATGTCAAAGATTATTCAATCGAAGACAATTTGCAAAGGTACAACCACTATTAAACATCATTCTAGCAGCTAAATGTTCATTAAATGAACAATTATTATTTGATATATTGCGTATTAATAATGTGACAAGTGAAGATTTCAAAAAACGTTTTCAGTTGTTAAAGAGAGTTATTGTCGTGTCAAGGTCAGGTAATATTAGGTTATTTCATCATTCATTCGCTGAGTGGTTGCTGGATATAAAACACTGCACACAGAAGTATTTATGTAATATCTACGAAGGGCATATTGTCCTGGCTATGTATTACACTCTGCATGCGAAGTATTTGAGTAATCAAGAGATATATGATTATGCTTTTCATTTGACTCGCATGGAGCAGTACATGAGTGAAAAAGAGCAGAAGGGTAAGCATTCGAAGAAGAACAACTGCTTGAATACCAGTTTAAATACAAGCGTACAGCTTGATAATACACTGGAGAAGTCATCGACAGAGATTTATTGTGATCTCAAAGCTTTGGAAGAGGTTAAAAAGTTAGATGATGTCGAAGTTAATAACTTCGATGAAGTAGATGTGCAGCAAAAGGATGATTTTCCTATTTATGCACAGGTTATCAAAAAAGACAAGATGGCTGATGTTGTTGAAGACAAACAAGAAAAAACCCTGGATGTGCATACTTTAACTGTCTTATGGTTGATTCTAAGCGGATGTAATGTTGAAGATTGTTTATTGGAAGGTAATGAAATCACGGGAGTGAATTTCGGTGCGTTTTACCAACAGATCCAAAAGTATTGAAATTATTGTTAGAAGCAGGCGCTGTTGAGCAGAATGATATCGATGCGGATGGTGAATATGAATCGCAAGCATCCATAGCTTCCATTGTCTCAACATCATCAGAACAAAGCCCTGAACCTTTGTTTGATGTACAAGATGTGCATGGTTTGCATGTAGCAGCGAGATTAGGACAAGCGCAAGTTGTAAGAGTGTTATTGGAAGCTGGCGCGAGTCCTGATCAAGTTGACATGGATGGTTGGACACCCCTGAAGGCGGCCGCATGGGGTGGTTATACAGAAGTAGTGGAATTACTAGTAAAACGTGGTTGTAACTTGGATGTAATGGATGGTGAGCATAGAACAGCGCTGAGAGCAGCCGCATGGTCAGGACATGAAGAAATAGTTAAGATTTTGATCACGCATGGCGCTGATGTCAATCTGAGCGATCATGAAGGCCGAACAGCGTTGATTGCGGCTGCGTACATGGGCCACGCTGAGATTGTGGATCATTTATTGGAACATGGCGCGAATATTGATCATGCTGACGCTGATGGACGTACAGCGTTATCTGTAGCTGCATTGTGTGCACCACGGACTCCAGGGGTGGGTGTAGTGCAGACTTTACTCGAGCGCGGCGCTACTGTTGATCATAAGGATAAGGAAGGTATGACGCCATTGTTGGTAGCGTCATTTGAAGGTCACAAAGACGTGTGTGAACTGTTGCTTGAGAATGAATCCGATGTGGATCATTGTGACAATAGTGGTCGGAGTCCACTCTGGGCGGCTGCTAGTATGGGTCATGCGCCTGTAGTTGCTTTACTTCTATTCTGGGGTTGTTGTATTGATTCGATGGATTCGGAAGGTCGGACTGTGTTGTCAGTAGCCGCGGCACAAGGTTGTGTTGATGTAGTTCGACAGTTACTCGACAGGGGGCTGGATGAGCAACATCGTGATAATTCCGGATGGACGCCATTGCATTACGCCGCGTTTGAGGGACATCAAGATGTTTGTGAAGCATTATTAGACGCTGGAGCAAGAGTAGATGAAACTGATAACGAAGGTAAAGCACCATTGGCTCTAGCGTGTCAAGGCGGACACACTGCGTTGGTGAATCTTTTCATTGATAAATACTCTGCGCCGTATGATCAAAAACCGCACGATGGGAAAACCGCGTTGAGGTTGGCAGCACTCGAAGGTCATTATGATATTGTACAAGTATTACTCTCGCAAGGGGCGGATATTGATATGAAAGATTCCGATGGTAGGAGTACACTGTATGTGCTTGCTTTGGATAATCGACTACCGATGACCAAATATTTCATTCAGCAAGGCGCGGATGTTGAAACAAGAGATTTAGAAGGACGGACGCCATTACATGTGAGTGCATGGCAGGGACATACGGAAATGGTGCAGATGTTGTTGACAGTTGGACGCGCACGCGTAGACGCCGTGGATTTAGAGAATAGAACAGCGCTGCATTCGGCGAGTTGGCAAGGGCATAGTGATATTGTTAAACTATTGCTGGAGCATGGCGCGATGCCGGATCACACTTGTAATCAAGGTGCGACTGCGCTGGGGATAGCTGCGCAGGAAGGTCATGAGTTGTGTGTGGTTGCGTTGTTGGAACATGGCGCAGATCCGAATCATTCGGACGCTTGTGGGAGGAATGCATTGCGGGTTGCGGCGAAATCTGGCCATCGAGGTGTTGTTAGACTTCTGGAGGAGTATAATGCTAGGTCACACAAGGCGGCACACACTAGCAGTAGTGCTAATTCTATTACATCAGGTAATTATTAATACATAACCTTAATTTTTCAACGTAACCTTACTTTTTTTTAAATTTTAGGTTCTACTGCAGAAACAAAACCATCCTGTGCGATATTCTTCCCCGGAGCTTCCGAATGGTATGACCAACAGCGTAGATCCATGGTCTCGCTGGGGAATCACAGTTCCAACTCGAAATCGAGTTCGAATCTGACTGGTTCCAGCCATTCGAGTCGACATGGTGACCGGCCACGTGATTCAAATCCAGCTCCCATGTCTTTCACGCAGCAGTTACAGCAGTGTAGTCGTGGTGGAAAAACACGACCGTTGAGTAAATTGTTATCACCGCTGCAGAGTGAACCGCAGAGTCCGATTTATGCGTCGCCGCCATTGAGTCCAGTGCATGATACGCCTGCGCCGAATATTTTTGGTAACATAACCTAATATAACCTATATTTTTATGGTTTTATGTAATATTATCTTATTTTTAGGTGCTATGAATATTTATCAACCTGTTCTGAGACAAAATAACTTCGCGAAAGCCCCAGACACACATTTCGCTCGTGATACTCACATGCGTATCATTTTGGGTAATAATAGCGCAACATCCAATGGCGCAGCGTCGAAATCTGAGAAAAATAAGAATTCTGATAGTAATTCAAGGTATAACCTATAAATTTTAATATTTTTACTCATTTCTAACCTATTTTATGTTTACTTTTAGTTCTAAACCTAAAAGAAATGGTATTGTAACGAACCCCGCGTTACGCTTAGTCGCAAACGTGAAAAACGGTCTGGATACAGCCGCAGCCAACCTGCGCAAGTCCGCCAGCGGCGCGAATCCCAGCACGAAAACAAACAGCTTCCACTGGCGGAAGGAAACGCCGCTATAACAGCAGCGGACGACGGGACATCGCCGCACCCGGAGCTACGTCGACACCACGACGGGCTTCAGCTACCTTTCGATGTCCTGAACGCCCTGCCCTTGACACCTCCACCCTAACTAAAACACTACTTATCTAATGATCTACACAGCGCGCGCGCCCGCAATTTAACCAGAAACCAAAGCGTATTCTTAATTTTTAACTTTTCTGGAGCAAGCAGTTGTAGTTGAAGGGTTGTACTAATGAAACTATTAAAGGATTGTACATTGTTAGCATTTAGGAGCACGCCGCATACGCTGCACCGCTCTAAACAAGACAAAAAATAATGAATATTTTTGTGCGAATTGAACGCAAATGCGATGAAACGAAGCCGCACTAGTCAATAGCTGTTAATTGAGTAATTTAAACACACAATTCACAAAGTACAGTACGTAAACGAACGTAATAACAAATGTATACATATATACAAGCATTAAACAAAGTCATATTTTACTGAAGGATGGATACACAAACAATATCTAGATTAATTTAATGTGTAATAAGTAATCTGCAATAAGTAAGCAAGAACAATATGCACCTAGTCGACAAGTCTGTTTACAGACTGTTTAATTCGTAGAATTAATTATTTTCTATTGTTTTTTTTTATGTATTTGAAGGGGCCTAACACACATACAGAGAAAGAGCGAGGGAAAGAATTGCAAATGAAATGAAATCTTGTTTAAAATTTAAATTATTGGTTTTGATTAGTCTCGTAGTCTTGTGAAGAATTAGGATTGTGTATTTTGTGATAATTGATAATTATGTCTCTTGGTTGAAAACAATTACAGCAGTACTAGTATTCGAACAATGTGTAAACTATACATACAATAGCAATTTATTATGTAATCACTATGTAACATTTGAAAAATGATAACATGATAACCGAGATGAAATTGGAATTTGTGGGGAGAGAGAAAGAGGAAGAAATATTTAATTTTTATACTGCTGCTGTATTAATAATCGACGATAACGTAAGAAACGGAGTGCAAATTGAATTCGAAGAGTTGAAAGAAGTATCTGAGTGTAGACAAAATAATATTTTATGTGGACGTGATGCATTTAAAATTTAGAGTTTTAGCGCATGGAACCGAATTCAGTTGTAACACACAATAAAACCAGACAAATATTGCGTAGAACTGTCGAATCTCTTGCAAATAATATTGGATTATGTGCAGTATTAAATAAACACGTGTAAAAACATTAAAAGAAGAGAAATAATGAATGTAACCTCAATTTTTAGCTTGTAAAATGTTGTGATTGATGTTAATGTTAAGATTTTAAGGTTATGAGTTCATATTTTTGTTATGATATGTTATTTACATTATGTTTATTGTTTCAGATGTGAATTTATAAAATCTAGAACTTTTGGTACGTTTGTATAAACACCAGGAGTTGTCCCATCTGCACAGGCAATGCCCCAGGATACTATACCGATTAATTCTCCTCTGCCATACATTGGACCGCCGGAATCACCCTTAAAAGTAAGAATATTTTAATATTTAACTATTAAACACTAAAATTTTATCTTACTGTGCATGCATCTTGTCTTAAATAATAATTCTGTGCGCAAAACATTCTTTCAGTGATGGCTCCTGGTGGAAACAATGAAACGCAATCTTTTGTGCTTATTACTCTTTGGGAAGCGCTCTGTAAACGTTTCGACGGTGTAGAATCATCGTTTGGATCAGTTGTGCCCCATCCTAATACAACTGTCCCTAAACCTGTTTGTGGTGAGTCGTTTTTATCCGGGAGAGGAATAGGTGCGATTGTTCCTTTTGAATCTTTGAAGTTGAGATCTTTTGATAGGACTATTATTGCTACATCGTAATCAGCGTTTTTGCGATTGTATTCAGGGTGTTTTATTACTTGTGAGACGTTGAGGAGTAATCCACCGTGGTCGTAATAAGTTGAACCAACGCGTACTTTGTAAAATTCTGTTGCAAAAACATCACCTGGGATAACAAAAGGTAATACAAAGATGGCCGACTCTAGATGTAAACAAATTATTATATTGATGCTTACAATGTGCTGCTGTTACAATAATCCGGTTGGAAACAATGGCACCTCCACATTTATGATCTCCATCTACTTGTAGCGATGCCATAAAAGGGAAGTATTGGATATCTACTGAGTAGCCATTAATTATTCTCCCGCCTAATTTTGCTTTGATTGTTTTTATTGATAAAATCACAATGAATATGACTAAACATTGCTTAAACAGCTTGTTTTCCTTAGAAGTCATGTTTTGTTATTTAAAAGTTAAAAAATACTCGGACGGGAACGTGTTTGACGAAGTTACGATAGCAGAAATGCGTGAAACGCTTACTGATAAGAGAAACATTAATTATTTGCACTTTAAAATATGCTAATATACGTGGTATACTGTTAAATGGATATTTATTATCTATACAAGTATGTATACAAATAAATTGCTGTTTGTTAGACCGGCTAAAATTTTAAAAAAGCAAATTTTATCTGAAAAATGCTTCAATTGCAAGGCAAAATTTGAGTTTTTGACTAGAAATAAGGGGGAAGGAGTAATAGAATTTATTCAATATTAATATTTTCTATAAATATTATTGTTGCAATAAATAGTTTTATTGTTGTTTACATTTTTTCTCATCACCATCATTCAAACATTGATGTTTACACTGGTGTAAACAAAATATGTACATTGGGTTGCCTACTCAGTTGCGCGTAGCGTCGTTAGTTTACGTCCACTTTGCTTGGTTATAAACCCTTTTCTGCTGCAAAACGTCTTATTTTCGAATGAAAACACCGCTTTAATTAACAAAATGTGTTTGCAAAAGTATGTAGAATATTCGTTTTACATGTGAGAGTGAAGGCGCGAGTGTAGTCCTCGGCTATGAACGATAAATTCCACTTAACCAAGCGTCTACTTTGTGTTGTCGCGTTTTTATTAATTATTTTGTTTTTTAAGCTATTATTCGAAGTAGACTGAACCCACACACACCTATTTCACTACCCGAAGAGATTACAACGACCACAACATGTCCACGAAAAAGGTATCCTACTTCTACAACCCTGATGTTGGCAATTTTCATTATGGCACTGGGCACCCGATGAAGCCCCACAGGCTATCAGTGATACACAGCCTTGTGTTGAATTATGGGCTACACAACAAAATGAGCATCTACAGACCATACAATGCCAGTGTTCATGATATGTGCAGGTTTCATTCAGATGAATACATAGGTATGAACAGAATTACATTTACTCCTGTTTTAAGCAAATAATTTAATTATTTTTTATATTTTCATAGATTTTCTTCAACGAGTAACTCCACAAAACATCCAGGCCTACACAAAACACCTCAGTCATTATAACGTTGGAGATGATTGTCCTGTTTTCTATGGATTGTTCGATTTCTGCTCAATGTACACTGGAGCTTCATTGGAAGGGGCGATGAAGTTGAATAATAATAATTGTGATATTGCTATCAATTGGTCAGGTAATAATTCACTTTAATATTATTAATATTTACATTTATTTACTTTTTTTTCTTATTTCTGGTTTCAGGTGGTTTACATCATGCGAAAAAGTTTGAAGCCTCAGGTTTTTGCTATGTGAATGATATAGTAATAGCAATTTTGGAGTTATTAAAGTATCACCCAAGAGTATTGTACATTGACATAGATGTACATCATGGAGACGGCGTTCAGGAAGCATTCTATCTTACTGATAGAGTTATGACAGTTAGTTTTCATAAGTATGGCAACTATTTTTTCCCTGGTAAGTTAAAAACCTTTATAATATTAATATTTATTTGTTTATAAAATATTGTTTTTAAATATAGGTACTGGTGATATGTACGAAGTAGGAGCAGAGTCTGGCCGTTATTACTCTGTGAACGTCCCATTCAAAGAAGGCATCGACGATTCTTCCTATTATCAAGTCTTCAAGCCTGTAATTTCCAACGTAATGGAATTTTACAATCCTACTGCAATCGTGCTGCAGTGCGGCGCGGATTCCCTCGCTAACGATCGCCTTGGTTGTTTTTCACTCTCTACAAAAGGTCACGGTGATTGCGTGAAATTTGTTAAAGATCTGAACGTGCCAACGCTTGTTGTTGGTGGTGGTGGATACACATTGAGAAATGTCGCGCGTTGTTGGACGTATGAAACTTCTCTGCTGGTTGATGAACAAATCAGTAATGAGTTACCCTATACTGAGTATTTGGAGTTTTTCGCGCCTGATTTTACGCTGCATCCTGAGGTTGTTACTAGACAAGAGAATGCTAATAGTAGACAATATCTGGAGGCAATTACTAAGTATGTCTATGATAATCTGAAGACGTGTCAGCATAGTCCCAGTGTACAGATGCATGATGTACCTTCTGATGCTATCATGGAAGATGAAAAGGTGAAGAAGGAGGAGGATCCAGATACGAGGATTTCACAGGAGTTGGAGGATAAGATGGTGGATGTGAAGAACGAGTTTTATGATGGTGATAAGGATCAGGACAAGCCTGATGAGGAGCCGTAGTTTTGGTATTATGGTTTATTTAATATCAAATTGATTGCAATTATTTAAGTAGATTTATTTTTGTATTTTATTTAATGTATTTTAACTTGTCACTCTGCATTGAAAAGGTATGAATAATAATATCCAGTTTGAAGGCGTTTGTGCTGTTTTAACGCGGAAGGGTTGCTCTAAAGGTTGCAGTTTCATTTCGTTTTTTTAATATATTAATTTCTTGTCGTCATTTTGTAGCTCAAGAGACGATGCCTACCCTTTCAAGCTCCTAAACCATCTGGAAGTGACCCTAGATGACCATTCAATACCACCATTTGTGATTTTGTGAAAACACGCCGTGGAAAATGCCTTAGAACATAGGAACCATAAGAGTGAATTTAAGTTTCTACCATTTTATGGAGTATTTTATTGTTGTTTCATCAGCGCCCCACATTCACTCTGTAGTGCGCCTAAAAGTGCCCCAAAATTACCATTAAAAACACCCCCTAATTGTGATTTTGTGAAAACACGCGGTGGAAAATGGGCTATAACTCGCGAATCATAAGGGTGATTTTTAGTTTCTTTGTATGAGTATATAGCTAAAGAGTTGATGTTTCATCTGCGCTTTAGATTCACCCTGTAGGGCACCTAGAAGTGCCTCAAAATGGCCGCTGAAAACACGCTTGTTTGTGATTTTGTGAAAACACGCGGTGGACAATGGGCTGTAACTCACGAACCATAAGGGTGATCTTCATTTTCTTTATATGAGTTTATAGCCAAAGACTTGCTGTTTCATCTGCGCTTTAGATTCACCCTGTAGGGCACCTAGAAGTGCCTCAAAATGGCCGCTGAAAACACGCTTGTTTGTGATTTTGTGAAAACACGCGGTGGAAAATGGGCTGTAACTCACGAACCATAAGGGTGATCTTCAGTTTCTTTATATGAGTTTATAGCTAAAGACTTGCTGTTTCATCTGCGCTTTAGATTCACCCTGTAGGGCACCTAGAAGTGCCTCAAAATGGCCGCTGAAAACACGCTTGTTTGTGATTTTGTGAGAACACGCTGTGGAAAATCGGCTATAACTCGCGAATCATAAGGGTGATTTTTAGTTTCTTTGTATGAGTTTATAGCTAGAGTGTTGTTGTTTCATCTGCACTCTAGATTCACCCTGTAGGGCACCTAGAAGTGCCTCGAAATGGCCGCTGAAAACACGCTTGTTTGTAATTTTGTGAAAACACGCGGTGGGAAATCGGCTATAACTCGCGAACCATAAGGGTAATTTTTAGTTTCTTTGTATGAGTTTATAGCTAAAGAGTTGCTGTTTCATCTGCGCTTTAGATTCACCCTGTGGGGCACCTAGAAGTGCCTCAAAATGGCCGCTGAAAACACGCTTGTTTGTAATTTTGTGAAAACACGCGGTGGAAAATCGGCTATAACTCGCGAACCATAAGGATAATTTTTAGTTTCTTTGTATGAGTTTATAGCTAAATAGTTGATGTTTCATCTGCGCTTTAGATTCACCCTGTGGGGCACCTAGAAGTGCCTCAAAATGGCCGCTGAAAACACGCTTGTTTGTGATTTTGTGAAAACACGCGGTGGAAAATGGGCTGTAACTCTCGAACCATAAGGGTGATTTTTAGTTTCTTTGTATGAGTTTATAGCTAAAGAGTTGCTGTTTTATCTGCGCTTTAGATTCATCCTGTAATGTGTCTAGAAGTGCTTCAAAATGACCGCTGAAAACACCCTTTTGTTTGTGATTTTGTGAAAACACGCGGTGGAAAATGGGTTATAACTCGCGAACTGTAGGGGTGATTTTTAGTTTCTTTGTATGAGTTTATAGCTAGAGAGTTGCTGCTTCATCTGCACTTTAGTTTCACCCTGTAGTGTGCCTACAAGTGCCTCAAAATGGCCGCTGAAAACACCCTTTTGTTTGTGATTTTGTGTAAGCACGCAGTGGAAAATGGGTCATAACTCACGAACCATGAAGTTGATTTTCACTTTTTTTTATATATTTAACCTATGAAAGAGTTGTTATTTATTGTAGAAATTTTTTATAGCCATGACATAAATTGTTTTTGTAATAAACAATATTTTTAAAGCTGTTCTAATTATTTTTCATCCCTAATTTTATTTGTTTTCAGATCTCAAACATTTATTCTTAGTTTAAAACTCGACGAAAGTTGGTTGAATATCTCTTATTTTATTCACAAATGTTTTGAAATCGTGCGAAGATCTGTCAAAACTCTACTACCTCCTCACACATTCTGCTATCCTAATATTAAAAATCAATTTTTCTCGTTATTTCGGACTGAAAATTAATTTAAAATACTGCTAGTGACCTCTGTCGATGAACACTATCTCAACTGACATTTTAAAAGTTTCATTAGATTTAATTTTTAAACATTAAATTTACCCGCCACTACAAGTTGCCGCCAAACCTGTATCAGCCTCCTCACACTTTCTGCGATCCGAATACCAAAATCTGAGTTGCGACTGTTTCGAGACAAAATTTTGCGTGATTTTGCCTCGCAGAGTCGACAAAATAAAGATTGAATATTCGGATCGCAGAAAGTTGAGGAGGCTGATACAGTTTTGGCGGAAACTAGTAATGTGCTGCCTCTGGTGGCGACGGACCGAAGTTTATATTTGAAGTTGTTGTAGTTTCCAATAAGTAGAGGGCGCTAGCATGCACTTTTCATAATAAATGATTTAAGGAATCGGTAAATATGTTATGGTGTTGAAATAAGAGAAATAATTATAATCAGAAAAACTAATAAAATATTCATTATTAAAGAAAACACACAAGCATAAATTTTGGAAGTCAATTTATGTTAAAATCACAAAAGTTATTTAAGATAGTAATACAGAACTTTAATATTTACAATTAAATGCAAGAATGGTCCTTCTTGCATGGATGTCTGGATGTCAGACTCTAACAATAACAAAGAATTTTAATACCTACAATTTGGTGAAAGACCGGTTGTCCTACGACATTGCGTTCGCCCGCTAAAGCAAAAAAACAACAAAATTAGCTGAGCAAAAAATACAAAAAGGGCATTTTTGTAGGTTTCCCGAGGGATAAACCAACAAATTATATATGAAAATAATAAAGAATTTTAATACCTACAATTTGGTGAAAGAACGGTTATCCTACGACATTGCGTTCGCCCGCTAAAGCAAAAAAACAACAAAATTAGCTGAGCAAAAAATACAAAAAGGGGCATTTTTGCAGGTTTCCCGAGGGATAAACCAACAAATTATATATGAAAATAATAAAGAATTTTAATACCTACAATTTGGTGAAAGAACGGTTGTCCTACAACATTGCGTTCGCCCGCTAAAGCAAAAAAACAACAAAATTAGCAGAGCAAAAAATACAAAAAGGGCATTTTCGTAGGTTTCCCGAGGGATAAACCAACAAATTATATATGAAAATAATAAAGAATTTTAATACCTACAATTTGGTAAAAGAACGGTTATCCTACGACATTGCGTTCGCCCGCTAAAGCAAAAAAACAACAAAATTAGCTGAGCAAAAAATACAAAAAGGGCATTTTTGCAGGTTTCCCGAGGGATAAACCAACAAATTATATATGAAAATAATAAAGAATTTTAATACCTACAATTTGGTTTTTTGGAGCAAAAAATTCAAAAAGGGCATTTAAAAGGGCAATTTAGTGAAAGAACGGTTATCCTACGACATTGCTATAAATGAATCTCCAAGTTCTGATAAGAACCATGATCTCATTTGTTTTAGGTGGATCTGCATCTGTAACTTCATTTACCTAAAAACTCATTCATATACAGAAGGACATACCTATATTTAACAACTACTTGTTGGTATCTTTGTAAAAGTAATTATGATAATATATATTTAAATAAACTTAAGTTCAATGCTGGCTCAACAACTCAAAAGTAACAGCTTTAGATCAAATCAAAGGTGATGCAAATGGCATGACAGCAACTTTACTCAGAAAATTCTGTCATCTAATGATCTTTGAACTTCAGGATACACACTCTACCTCAATTTAGCAGCTGATTATAACTAAAGGCTGGATAATTCATACCAAGATGCCAAGATAACAGTGATTTAAAGGTGATGCTTGTCTTGTTTCAGTACTTGATATTTAAGGTTGGCATAGTTCATGATACTCATAATTGAGTATTAAGAAACAATTAATCCATAACTTGTATTATCAGTAATATGTAGGCACTCTTCGTAGATAATACAACTGTATACACTGCTTCAGCACTTCAATCAGCTTTTGTACCATTCTTTACCAGCTATGTATTTGCGTTGGTAGTGTTAGGGAATGAAAATGTGCAAATTAACCAGTACCACCTGAAACAAAAAAGGCTTTTAAAGTGTTGTCTTAATGTTTATTAATTAATTATCTATTTATCTTATAGTAATTACATATTCTGCAGTTTTACACTGTCACACACAATTTGGAGAAGAATGATGAACATATGATGAATCAGAGGTTAGTTTACATATTGCTGTAATCATCGAAAAGTCGTTTGTTTTGAATGTATGAAAAGTTTATTTAATCTTCTAAAATCCTATCTTAATAACATTAATTTCCTTCAGATTGTATACTCTAGAACATAAATATTAACAAAGAATCAGCACGAAACAAACAAAAACAATAACATGAAAATTAAATTGAAATTAAACTAGTATCGCCCTCTATCCGCGTTTACCACAACTAAATTTAAATATCTTTCGAAACAAACTTAGAAGCCCCACCACTAGATGCCCATACCAGTATCGAAAAATTGCCAAAATATCTCAGCCTCCTCACACTTCTGCGATCCGAATATTAACAACGATTTTTGAACAATTTTTCAACGCGAAAACGTCTCAAAATTTTGTCCTATAAATTGAGTCGTGTTATTCGGATCGCAGAATGAGTGAGGAGGTATAAAATTTTCCAAAGATTTTCGAGCGATTTCAACACATTTTCAAATTACGATTACGGAATTTGTGAAAAAATTGAACTTATCCGCGGTTTGTTTAAATAATATTAATAATTTCACCCGGTTTAAGAATGTTGCAGACATTGCAAATTTCAAATTAAAAGAATTTATTAAAGTAATTTATAAAGTAAAACAAAACAAACACAAACTTCGAAAAAATCAAATTTTTAATTATTTCTGGGCTGGTTGGGGCCCAAAATGTAATTGCAAACAATAAATCAAATATCCGCTACAAAATAAAGAGAAAAACGTTGAAATCGGACCAGAAAGTCACGAGATATGGGATGTTTTCCACCTAAAAGTTGTTTTTGTACATTTCTGGTCAGTTTAGCCCCAAGGAAACCAAAATAATTAAATAGAAAAGTTTTCCTCTGTAAAAGAAAGAAAATCCAGCTAAAATAGGACAAGAAAAACCAAGAATTTCTCAAATAAACCAACCAGGCAATTGACAATTTCATTTTCATTTATTTCACATAGTTTTCGTTTTGTTTACAATGAACATGCTAATTGTTTATTCATTAAGTAATAACATTAAATGCATAATAACGCTTTGAGTGTCTGCTTGTCGGTGGTATAGTAATGAATCCTGTCTGTATTGTAGTTTGCTTTGATTTATCGCCCCAAGTTATTGTATTGATTCTCAACCCACATCAGAGCAAGTCTCGCATCAATTTTCACGTAATCAAGATTCGAAATTATCATCTAATACATTTTGTTTTCACCATTTGTGTGTAGACATTAATATTATTGAGAATTGCTTGGAAATCTGCTGACTGGTTGCACTGGATAAGAAACTCCATTGATTCGCATATCAAAAATGGTCGCAGATTCGTTGTGCCGAAATTTACAAACACACAAACAGAACATGAAAACAAAAAATCAACGATTTTTGAAATTCCGGTTGAGAAAATCTCATTTCTATTATATAGACACTTAATTTTTGGATTCTGTTTGAATACAATCAAAATTTGTCTTGTAATTTGTGCAGATTCGGAACTATTTTGAAATATATACTTTTTCACATTAATCATCAAATGAAAAATAAAATCCCAAATGCAATGCGTCCCTAATTTACAAATATCATTATGATTTTCGTCCGCCATCTTCATCGTATATAATAATTTTGGTGGTTTGCTCGTTTGCATCTTTTGACCTCTTTTCAATAGTACATGTACATCATTATACAAATTACAACTTTACAAGTAGTGTCTGAATTACAATTAAAACAGTTAAACTGTAAATTGTGCAATTTCCATCCGTCCGTCCACTCGCATTATGTCTGTTTATACAATTTTCATTGTGCTAATATTTATTTGCCATCTTCTGCTTAAAACGTATAATACCTAGCGTTATCCTTAAGAGTAAACCACAAATGATATAATTGAATGTCTGAAAATGTTAAACCGCATTTATTGTAATCGTTAATCATTAAATCTTCACTTAATCATAGCGTTATGTACAAATTGACTATCAACACCGTATCCTCTCATCGTCACAAAACATCTCTGCATTCGTATATAGTTTTTTTGATTCCATTCAGTGTGTCGATGCATTTGCTATCTCCTTAAACGCTAATTAATCCAAAGTCACAATTACACTTTATAGCTTAATTCATCATCGATTTACTTCATCTTCTTTATAATTCAGTACGAAAATTATCACAGTTAAACATGTATAGTGTGTGTAGTTTATTCTATGTCATGCTCGTTCGCTTCAGTTTCATGTTTGGCTCCCTTATTTGCTTCTTGTGAATCGAGGAGAACGTAAAACAAGGAAATCATGTGTGCAAAACAAACGAGGAAACTTATAGAAACCGAATTTTATTTCTTTTATTGGTCGTAATAATATTAATAAATTCAAAAAGAGAAAAAGAGTAACAAAAAACCGCTCGTATCAACTATGTAGTTCGTAGTTTTCATCCGTGTTTCCACATATCGTACACCACCTTGAGAGACGCGCCGAGTGCTTTCCTTCGGAAAATAATATATATTCTCATAATAATATTAAATATCAAATAATATTTATACTATATACAAATAATTAGCAACTAGCAAATAGAAGTGGTTCTTGAGTGAGTTTTTTTTCCAATTCGTTTAAACTTAAGAGTAAACACTACCAAAGTAACAATTTCCAATCATTCACGTCTTTCAATAAAAACAATCACAATTTTCCCTCCTCCCCAAGAGTTGCGCAGTTTAAGAGATCTAAAAAATCAACTAGAATTTCGTACAAAACTAATAAATATCCTCGCCGCGGACGCTAGCAAAACGATACAAGAATTCCCAAAATAAAAATTAAAGCTCAATTCGTGCCAAAATCATTGTATCGCTTTAACATCACAAAGATAACTCTAAATTCGCTTATAAACTTAAATTTTATTTACAGAAATTTCGACCCTTCAGGAAAACCAAGCGCAGTGCGAAATTCCGAATCAAAAACATTTATTTAAACATGTGCCTAGGTTTTTTTTTATCTTTAAAACAGAAATCGCAATTTGAAATCTTAGTATTTCCAAAACGAAAACTTCAAATTGCATTTCATCAATATGCGGCTTGTTTTCCACTCGCAAACAAATAAAAAGTGCATAAAAAATCTTCAACCATTTGAGCCGTTTCATTTCTTATCGTTTTTTTTTGGGCAGAGTGCTCCATCCAACAAGTAATAATATCGATCCATAGCCACCTAATATGTACACATTATAAAGTATATTTATTTAAATCTCGAAAACAAATAGTTCTCTTTGTTTTACTTTGTTTTACTTTGTTTCATATTACACATATTTCTCTCCACTTGAGTTTGCATACTTTGTATAATAACCTATCGTAATCATCGTTTCCCTATCATCTTCAAGCATCTCATCTCTTTGAATCAATTCAGTGTTCATCACCTCTGCTCTGTATGTACAATTTTATATATATATAGCGCTTTATATATTTATAATATATTGTTTTTTCTTTTGCATAGATAGGTTAAATCCCAGGGAATGTTGTATACGCATCATGGGATTCCCCTATTTGTACTATTTACTTGTCCTTGAGCCCGAGGAGCGAGTGCTCCATGAGACTGGTGTTCGGCTGGTGCGCATAGTTGCGGATCTGATGCAGGCTGATGAGTTGGTTGGGGAATCCATTGCTCGGCTGCGACTTGGGCAGGTCGAGAGTGTTCTGCTTCTGGAAGCTGAGCGCGTCGTAGATGTACGGCCGATTGGGCGCCAGCTGATGGTTGAGGTGGTTAAGGTGTCCCGACATCGAGTTGATCGGTGTGAACGCTGAATTGGCGTTGCTCTTCGAGATCGACGTATCATAAGCACCCGCTGTCGAAGATGGCGGCGGTGGTGGACCGTTATTAGAAAGGTTGGTAGCGTTAGGAGTGCTTGGCGGAGCTGGTGGGTTCTGCGCCAACTGCTGTCGAATGATGACGAGATCATCGTTTTGTTCCATGATCTGGCGGGAGATATCATTCGGGTAGTCGTGCATGTTCTCAGCGCTGTCCGGGGACACTTTGGGCCAGTAGGGATGTTCCAGACCACGATGGTTGATACCAGGTACGGCTTTCACTATTTAGAAACAATACAGAATTGGTTAAAATTTCCAGGGTACCATATTGTTAAGATATGTATTTGTACTTACCAATTGGTGGCCGTTTATCAGTGCGCTCAGCATGTTTCTGCATATGCTTACTAAGGTAAGTCTCCTGCGTGTAGGACTTGCCACAATACTGGCAGATGTGCGTCTTGAGGTGCTTGCTCTCCTTGTGCTTGGGTATGTGCTCGAGCAATGAGGGTTCATCACTGAAGCACTTGTAGCACGAATTGCACTTGTACGGCTTGTCCGTCTGGTGGCACCGCGAGTGCGACTGCAGATTACTCAACTGTGAGAAGGCCTTCTGGCAGCCTGGATGTCGACACCTGATCAAAACAAACCCAAATGAATATAATCACTCCCCCTATACCTCCACATCCAAACATCCAACACTTACTTGTAGGGTTTATCACCAGTATGCGTCCGAATATGCTGTTGGAGGTGCGACAACTGCGTGAATTTACGCTGGCAGATCTCGCAGCGGTAGGGCTTGATCCCGAGATGTATCCGCGTGTGCTGGGAGAGATAGGAGCTATTCGCGAACGCCTTGCAACACTGCGAGCACTTGTAGGGTTTCGCCTCTCGCATATGGGCCTGCGTGTGCAATTGCAGCTCGGCCTTGGAGCCAAACACCTTAAAACAAAAAACGGCACACATTAAATATGCAAAACATCAGGTAAGTTGACTTAGACTCAATATGCACAACGCAACCAGGTGTATTCGTAGGTAGGTATGTATGTATGCAAAAGGGGATAATTAAGAAATTAAGCAGCAATTTTTAATTTTCACCTTCGCGAGAGCTCAACTTAACTTATTAATTACGAGAACCAGTCTCGTGTGCGGAGACAACTCGTTTGCATTGCGTGCGTTACATCACAATGTTGAGCACATCAACATTAAACACCAACATCAAGTTCAAGTCGTTACATATCACACAGAGGTAGATAAATATAAATAAATTGAAAAGTTTTTCGAGTTTATTATATCTGGTAGTGACTTCCGTCTTTGAATCATTCTCTGATTCCTCGAGGCCTCAGGCGTGGAATGACCACCAGCAAGCATTTGCGCACACGACCAACAACCAAAAATCAAACGCGATACTTAGATTAGCCACAGTCGCTTTTTTATGACTTAAGTCGAATGTATTCTGCGGCGTTGGTTGGTTTCAATGTAATGTAATGCAACAGTGTTGTTTTTTTTGTGTGTGTTTGATCGACATGCTCTGTATCCTCGCATCTCAATCTTAAGATTCGAGCGTCAAGATTTAGGCATATGTGCAAAGTGGCCTTGTGAATGTGCTTAAGTCAATATCGACTTGAATCAAACATTTTAGCGGCTCGATTTGCGGTTCCATGTTAGATTTCCTAACGCGCGCGTTTTGTAATTACATCTCTCATTTCATGCATTTTTCGGCGTAGGTAAAACGACAACCGTTAGTTAGTAGTACAAGTATTGCGGTGTGGTCGAAAATTAATCACTATTGTCTCGTAGAATAAAATACATTACTATCAACTATATAGTAGAGTAGTAGTCGTTTTCGCCCATCTTTGCTCTTGTCCGCGCGCAGATTTTTTTAATTTAAATTTCGAGTTTAAATTCCCCTGCTCGTTCGGGTGTCTTGCTCGTTTCCTCTGAGCGTCGCGTTCCAACCCGCACGAGAGAGCTTTGCGAGCTTTTTCCTGCTGGGCTGTTCGGAGCCGGCAAGAGTCCGAGTTAGACATCGATTTTTTTCCGCACTTTTAATAGAAGTTGGGCGCTCTCGCACACGCCGCCCTTGCCGCGCGCACCACGCCGCACAACCCCGGGGTGGCGACCCTTCGCGTCGTGCGCTCATCTCGCGAGCGCGCGAATTTTTTAACGCGCCGAACACAGAACATCATCATCGTAGCATACCCCAAGCGCGTTTCCTCGCGTACACACAGAGTATACCTACACACCCCCTTACGTTTCACCATCTCTAGAAACTCAGCGGCGGCGGTGGTGGAAAGTTGAGGGTTGCTAAAATTTCATTCATAGCCCCGCGCCAAAAGAATGCATCGCTGCAAGAGTCGACAGAGTACGAAAATGAAAAAAACGCGCGCGCGGTGAAGACACCCCCACGAATCGATTAATGCGCGCTCTCTTTTTTCGCCGCTCTCAACCCCTCAACACCCTTAAAAACTGTAGTGCAGAGTACGCTTTCTACCTACATTTAAATTAAAAATTAATCTTTAATGTTAAACCCATTAATCATTGATTGACGTATTGGTACGGCGTTGAAAATAACACGCCGAAGTATGCAATTAACCAGTTTTTTTTTTGCTGCTGCTCGCGCGCCACTCATCAGTGCATTTGATGTGTGATTGCTTGTCTCTTGTACGTACAACGTCTTGTATCTTTGAATATACGTCGGTTCGGTTGCTCAGTTGTACATTACATCATCATCAGTTTTCGAATGCGCGCAAGCGGCGACCTTGATTCGCTTCGCGCGGTAATCGTTTTCGGCAGTTCGGCAGCAAAGTCAAATTCAAAACGCGGACGCAAAAAAATTAATAACACCATGTTATGTACGAATCATTAGAAATCGACTTGAGCGAAGATAGAAAAAAACTAAAATCAAGCGGATAATTATAAACTAATTAAAATTATTAATGTTTTATTGCATTATTGCATCGCAAATGTCTGGACGTAGTTATTACCAAGAGTTTGGGATATATATTATCAGTCTGGTCGTACGCCAGAGGCTAAGGTCACCCCGAAATGTTCGTGGGGGTGGTAATTTCATGCGTGTGGTGGTGAACGAGACGTCACGTCACGAAAAGACGGAGGCGTGCGAGACGCGCGACGCGCCGGCACCGCCGAAAAGTCCAAGGACGAAAGGAAAAGCCGCCGTTGGGGGTGGAATGGGGTGCGCAGACGATCCGGCTCGACCGGCGCGAAACCCGAATTCCAAAACCCACCAGAATCACACGCACGCAGCACCCACTTTCCATTCACTTACTAATAATTCCAACACTTTGCTATAAATTTTACTTACCTTCTCTTCATGGAAGTTCTCCCCGACCGAGATGGGGGTGGGCGGCGTAGACGAGTTTCCCCTCTCGTCGTCGTTGCGCCCCTCCAGCGACCTTGAACTTTCCGTCGTGTTCGCATTGTTACCATTACCACCCTGTTGTTGTTGCTGCTGCTGCTGCTGCTGTTGTTGCTGCTGCTGGTGCCCATTGGACCCTCTCAACGCATCCAGGTGCTGCTTGTACTCCCGATACTTCAAATCCTGCATATCCCGCGAGTTATCATGATGCAAATCCAACCCCCGCAGACGTTGATCGGACCTCTGATGGTCCATGCGGTCTAGATTATTCAAATTCCTATCGGTGAGCGCACCACCATCCATGGTCATACGTTCATTCCGGTCGTTCATCAATCGCTCCAGACTCAACCCATTGCGGTCCACTGGTGCCCCCAATCTATCCGCAGATAGACTCAGATTGAGTTCCAGACCACCGTAGCGATCTAGATTCATATTGGGTCTATCCAGCCCGTTCATATTCATTGTCCTATCTGGATGGCGCAGGTCCTGATGCAGGTTGAGACGGAGATCCACGTTGCGCTCGCCGAGGCGGTCGCCAAGGGAGCGTAGTGTGTCGATTGAGCGCTGCAGGTGCGAATACTGCTGGTTCTCGAGGAGCATCGGCGAGGGCTGAAACTCCAACCCGCCTGAGCGGCATTCCATGCGTCCCTCCAGCTTGGACACTTTCAAAATCAACCACCGGGGGGAGAGGAAAAAAAGCGACTTTTCAAAGCGGAAAAAAAACGAAAAAAGTCACTTTGCGATTGGGTTTACATCAAGGCGCACACTGGATCACTTCGTCGATGTGGTCACACCAAACACTCGCAATCCTCGCACATACACGTGTAAAATTTAAATGTTTTATTTCGATGGTGTGCCGAAGGGATTAAATAAAAAAGAAAAGTTTTTTGATGATTGGGTAGCGCACGCACGCGTCTTGCTGCGAGCGCGCCTCACACGCGAATGAGGAATTGACTGAAAGCGCGGTGTGCGTGTTTTCGAAGCGCTCGAAAGTGTTTGCGTTTTGTGAACTGCGGCACACGTCCGTTCGGCGCGGCGCTCGCTCTACATCTACTTCTACTTCAAGCTTGAAGCGTTGTAGCAGCCCGCCCGTCGGAGATTACTTCGGTAGGGGCGAAAGCGCCGCGCCGGTTTTCTCCCCCTGTCGTGCGCGGCCCAGCCAACACACACACATACACCATCATCATCCACACAGCATCCAAAACGCATGCGGCGTGCCTCTGAGCTTTTTTTCTCTCCCTCTCGCGATTTTTTCCTGCCGCGGGGACACGGACAAGACCCAGGGTGGGGGTTGGAAGAGATTTCGGCATCGCGCGAAAATTTTCGCGCAAAATTCCACATCAAATAAATTTTTTCCAAACTTTTTAGTTTAGTAACTTGTTGCACAACGATAATTTTGATGTATTATGTATTTATTCTAATATCGAGTTGGCGTGTCTTGATCAAATGCCACCGACAAATATTTGATGGTAAAAAAACAGCGCACGCAACCGAAAAGCTTTGTCTTGTCTCTTCTACATCACACACTTATACTTATACATACACCAACTTCCTCTGCGGAGTGTTGGTTGTCCGTTGTCTTATTATCCTCGTACCTTGTTGCGGTTGAAACAAAAATGCGTGCCGACGATAATTACGTACAAACTCGCTCACAGCGAAGCGTCATCTCGGTCAGAAGGACCAGAAGCTGTAGTGGAGACGGAGTTAAGTCAGTTACGACTTAAAACTTAAGCCGGAGCCGATGATGATGATGGAAATTATAAAAAAACGCACGCAGCAGCACCAAGAAAAAAAATTGATTGTGTATGTGTGACGGATGAAAATTCTCTGTACTCGGTACAAATCTATTTGGACACGCCACATTACACATCATCATTTTGTGTTGGTAATGTGTAATGATTTCAATTCGACTTAAGACACATTAAAATTTTGTTTTTATCGTCAAGCAGATTTTTCTTTCTTAGATTTACTTAAATATTTGATATTAATTTTTATGACTTGCGCAATCGTCGGTCTTTTCTTTGATGAAAATTTTCGAATCTATAAAACTTTGTCGGTACAATATTTTATTTATATTTTGAATTTGTGTTTATTGGAGTTGTTAAACTCCCGTTCGTTTTCTACCCCTTTCGCAACTCTCAACCCTTTAATATTGTTAGATAATATTAAAATTTCTATTTCTACTTTCAACCCTTTTTGAAAGTCCATCCGAGTAATATTGTGCGTTTGTTGAGGGTGTTTAAGAATAGGGATTTTATTGCGTGGAAAGTAGCCGAACGCCGGGGGTGCGCACCCTCACACGCACCTGACCTAGTGTGCTAGTGGGCCAGTGTCCGAGTGGTCAAAAGTGACCATTTTTTTTGTGTGATTTTCAAATTTCGGTGACAAAAAGAAAGGGGACGGATGTGTTTATGGAGACTAAGGGTTGTTACGCAAGATTTTATTTATCCATAAATGGTTTATTGCGTTGGGAAAGGAAATTAGTTGTTAAGTTATTGATAAATCGGTTTATTTCAAGGGTTGTTTAATGTTGTTTTTTTCATAGTTTTTTTGTAGGAGAGAT